TTAAAATCCAACACAACACCCTAAATACACAATAACTATTCAACCAGTGGAATTCTCCTAGTCAAGACATTTGTTTATTTATTTATATAATGCTAGCTTAAAGCAAAAATCTTAAAACTAACAGAAGGGCCTTCATCTAAAGATTAGTTATATGTATTGGTTGTTTTTTGAATATCTGGCGAAAATGTTACACCTTTGAAAGCTTTTCTTTGCACCAGGAGAACCCACTATATTCCTCAGCTGCCTGCCCTGAAAATCAAGTAAAAAAATATTTCATATTTCAGTTCACATACAACTCTAGCAAGATAAGTGCAGCGCTTGCTGGCAAGTGAATTGTTTTAAGCATACGAGTATTCTTTTAAATATATGTATATAGTATGTGCCTGATGGCGATCGCTCTTAAGTGTTTAATTAGTTTTATAGTTGTTGGTGCAATGCCATAAATAAGATCGTTTCTCTGTCGCACTCATGACAGATTCTTGAGCTCAAGTGCATAATTTATGCTACATTTTCGGGCTGACACTCAAGTGCCAACGGAAGTTGACATGAGACCTACAAACATACATACATACTCGTATAGTATAGAGAGGGATGGATGGACGCGACAGGCTGTTAGAATTCGAGGAACTAATTGAAGCGGTTGGTCGAAAAAGAAAAACCACTCATAAATCTCATCGATTTCAAGTCATGTTCTTGGCAAAAGCTTCAACCCAAATGCCGACTACTACCGAGAACTCAATTTACTTTTCATATGAGCAAGAGGCAGGCAGAAACCCAACAGCACTTCAGACACTTGAATGCAGTTCCAATTATGGAAAAACTGCCGCCGCTGTATACAATCCATAATGAAAACATTTAACCTGTCGTCACCAACAACATCAGCAGCAACATCATCATGAAAATCATTGCCAACTCCAGCTCCAGCTCCATCTCCATCTCTAACTCTAACTTCTACCTCTTCAACGTGCGACTCTCACTCATAATCAACTTTAAGTGTCAGCGGTCCACACAGCACCAACAACGACAACAACAACACCAGCACCAAGCGGGACCATTGCCACCACCATGAGCTCCATCAGCCAGCAATCTTTTCAATTATATGCCATTGCTATGATCCTTCCTTCGAGGAAGTGGTTAGAGCTGCCATCGCAACCAAAACACTTGAGCGCTTTAGAAATATGAGAAAACAATTCCACAAAACTTGAAGCGGCAGCGCATTGACAGCCCGAGTTTATTGTTGATGGACCTCGGCGTGTTGCCGGGCATTAGAGATGCGTGAGGAGCAACAAATTTATTAATAATTAATAATACAGCTAAAAGAAATGTAAATATTTAGTATTCACTTCAAATGTGCATGCAAATATTGGCTGCTCTTTTAAATGTCAAACAAAATAAAATAAATAAGCAAAATACTTTTTTAAAATTTCCCCTTTTTTTGTTTTTATTTCTATAAAAGAAATATCGATTGCTTAGAAGATGAATAATATTTAATTTAAACAGGACAGCACTCAGCGCTGGTGGATATGTCCGTAACAAAATATCTCTTTCATAAAAGTCTCACAATCATCATCGCAGAAGTCAAGAGTTCTCAGGAAATTTTACAAATGTTGAACCCAGGACTGATCTTAAATAAAGTATAGAACGAAGATAATAATAATACTCTCGCAGATAAACGAATATTCTTCTTACGAAGTAAGAACTATCTGCTGGATTTACATATATTAATAAGTCTAATTAAACAGAATTAATTGTTTCAACACAAAAATTAAATTAAATTTCATATTAAATATTATTATTGTATTAGCTGAGAAAAATATTATAAATATATTATACGAGTGTGGAGAATTATTTTTTTTTAAGAGTTTATGAAGAATTATTCTTTTTAAGAGTTTAAGAATTTTAAAAATTTGTTTATCACATTTTCTGTTATTATTAAATAACAATTGAAGGACCATAGAATAATGAAATTAGACATTTTGTTTTTGGTATTGGATATTAATATTATATTAGCTGAGAAAAAATTATAAATATATTATATAGGTGTAGGGAATTGCTCTTTTTAAGGGTTAATGATTTCTAAAATTTGTTTGTCACATTTTTTGTTAAATAATAATAAATTGAGAGCCGACAATTAGAAGCATGTTTTTTCCAAAAAGGAAATTAAATCCTTCCCTACTAAAACTATCTCGAAATGATTTTCAATAAATCGCTGTCCAGCTTACTAATTATTGACAATAAAAATAAAATAAAAATAAAAGAGTTCCTATTTATAACAAAGCAAATTTAAATAAACGAGCCATTTCTGGTTATGACAATACATCTAATTCTGTTTTTATACGGTCTTTTTTTACACGATTTTGATATGACATGGTTTGAAAATTAAAAATTTCACATATATTTCTTTAGAGATAAGAAACCAATCAGCTATTTTTGCATACTTGTATAATCAATGTATTTTTTTACACGGTTGTTTCTGGAACCAATCTACGTGTAAAAACATTTATTATCAGGTTTATATTTTAGCGTAAAGTTCGTGTCACGACAAAAACCAACCGAATGCGCCCATATCTAGTTTATATCCCTTGTCCAGATCGAGTGCATAATACACCTTTCCTTTTACGACGAGAACAACAACAACAGAACAGACGACAACGACAACGACGACGATGACGGCGACGGAGATGGCGACGGAGACGGACACGGCGACGAGGGCTCCTTGTTGTCATTAATGAGACGTCTTCTTCAGTCGACATAGTCATTTCCACTTCAAGTTGTCAGCTAGATATTACGAATGAAAGAGTGAGCTGGTGAGAGGGAGAGGTAGAGGTAGAGGGAGAGGGGGGAGAGAATGGAACAACACCTTCCTTCACACACACATACAAGCATACACGCACTGGTCCCTCATCATATTTTTAAACATTTTTGTGGCAGATGCCGTCAGGCATGTTTTGGACATTTGCGCGTTATGTCGCGCCTACTTTTTCTTACCCCCAACTTCTGAACTTCTTGAGTTGAGCAGAGAACAAAGCGCAATGGCCACGATGAGTTCGTCTTCGGTTAAATGAGCGTGTCGTCGTCGTCTTCGTCGTCGTCGTCGTTGTGTCTCTTTGATCTTACGCTTCGCTTCTAATTTGATTATAAACGCCGCGTCGCTCCTGAGCACGAGTACGAACGCAAACACACTCACACACACACAGAAACACACACACACTCACAGCCATACTAGACGCACACACTTTAGAATTTGTGCTTCTCTCCGACGTCCGACGTCTAAGCGTCTTCATTTTCAGCTTGAATGGTTGGCAGCACTTCCACAGCCAAGGCCCTGTGCCTTCATCTTCCTACTCCTCCTCCTGCTCCTCCTCCTGCTCCTCTCATCGTCGCCTTAAATGTTGATGAGTACGCGCCGCGGCACACTCAATGACGCGTTGAAAGTGCCATAAAAAGGACATGAAGTGGAGTGCCAGTACCAGTGCCAGTGCCCTGTTCTGTTCTCTCACTCTCTGGCGCACAATTTGGGTCGCTTGGGTTAGGTGCTGACAGCATTTTAAATGAAATGAAAACGATGCTTTCACTTTGCCAGCAGAATTGAGCGGGCATTGCTGAAGTAAGCAGAAATAATGTCAGCGACCTACAATGAAATGAATACTTCAGACTTCAGTGGCTTGTTTTTTTTTTTTTTTTGGCATGACTGCGGATGTTGAATGGCTTCTCCTGACATTTTCCTTAGTAGTTTACGAGTAGCACGAGTTTATAATCAAAAGCAGTTAAGTGGTCAGACAGTGATGGCTTAAATATTAGTAGAAACTCACGTGACTGCGAAAAAGTGCTCCAAAAATTCTTTAAATAAAATCTTTGCTAATTCAACCTATCCTATTTATATGAAGACTGTCCGTCGTATTACTTTTAAATGATATTGAATACTCGTAATATAAGTAGAATAGCTTGTTAATAGCGTAAAGAACTTTTAAGCATACAAATTGTATAATCGTTTTATAAATTTTCACGCCAAATACCGAGCACCAAAACTATTTCTTTACTTAGTCAGCACTTGGCACTCCAATAAGATGTCGTAAGGAAAATAATTTAGATAAATAAATAAATTAAATCAATAAGATACTTTAAAGGTGTCATACAAAATATTTTTAGATAAATAAATATATAAAATTAAAAAGCTAAATCACTTATACTGTAAAGGTGTCTTAAGAAAATCAATATTTCCCAACCTACATATATAAGATGCACAACTTTAGAGACCATTTATTGCTCATCAGTTACGCGACTTTTATGACATTGCTGTCACAGATCGAAGGAAAGGGGTAAGTAGCAAGTGAATTTCATTCGTTATATCCTGTATACATAGGTTAAAAAGGGTATACATATTACCCTTATGGAGAGTGAGTAATTTGCAGAAGGAACCTTCGCCGACACTATAAAGTATATATATTCTTCATCAGCATGAAGAGATAAATCGTTCTAAGCATGTCCGTCTGTTCGTACGTGCATCCCACTGTATGAACGCCTGGGTTTTGGAAATGGCTGAAGCTACATTAACCAAATTCGCTCCTAGTCCCTAGACAACAAAAGTAAATTTTTATTTGTATCTATTTTCCTCCCCCAACCTTGCAAGAGCATTTCGTCCATGAAGTCCACAATTCCAAAGCAACATAATTTTTTTTTTACCTACGTAGTTAATATATTAAATTTTCCAATTTTTAACCAAATAGATCAATTCTATGAAAAGTTAGTTATGCTGTTAGGACTGTCTTTGATTATGACAAGAAATTTCCTCAATCTATGCATTTTGTTGTGAACAGGCACTTTACCATCATTGGTTCAGGCATCGTCCACTCCTATATGGACTACAATGTTGCTGTCGCTGTACACAATACTAAGCAGCCAGTCACTCTTAAAGTTGCAATCACAGGAGTCGCACATCTAAAGGAGCAATCGATTACTTTGAAAACATCGGAAGAGTTTAAGCAATTAACGTTCAAACTGCCCTGGTTAAAAAATCTTGTCTACAGTCTGACCGTGGAAGGCACTTCTGGAATAAAGTTTAAGGAATCCGCTGAGCTCCTTTGGGTGGATGTCAAACCTAATGTCGTAATAAAACCGGATAAGAAATGGTACAGAAGGAGCGATACTATCCATTATTATGTGATGATTTTAGATGACAATTTACGTCCGTTCTTGCTGCCCTATACCATATCTGTTGAATTACAGCAAAATATTGGCGTTCTTCAAGCGAAAGCACATCCCAAAACCGCAAGAGGCGTTTATTTCGGAAATTTTGATTTAATTAAGCATAAGGATCTTTCAGGGCCTTGCAGATTGAAAGCAATTGTGCGGCTAAATGGTCTGAAGATAAGTAATACAGTGAATGTTTATGTGGCAGATTACTCTAAGCCCAAGTTCCATGTGAACATTGAGGCGCCTTCAAAAGTTTCGATAAGAGACAAAATCGTGGAGATAATTGTTCGTGCTAGGTAAGTTTTAATTACCAGAACAAACTTATGTCTATAGTTGAATATTTTCTGTACTTTCTAGGTACTTTAACGGAAAGCCATTGGAGGCAGGACGAGTAGAGCTCAGACCAGTGTTGGATCGTTTATCCGCTTTAGCCAAATCGAGCTTTGCTGTCATGATTAAAGGCAGAGCAACTGCTTATCTATATCTTGAGCCATATCGGCATCAACTGCTCAATAGTCCAGTTAAAGAAATAAAGTTTATTGTGACGGTAGATGATGCCTTAACACAAGAGCATGTTCTGGTAAATGGCAGAATGATCCTGCATAATAACACCTACGAGATAGCGTGCTATGGCGATTCTTTATGTGACGTATTCATCGCTGGCGAGGAAACGGAGATCACTTTTAAGATCAACCATATAAACGGAACAAAACAGACAATTCCAAATAAAATAGTTAAGGCTGTATTTCGTTATAGAAAGAAGCTAGTCGTTTTTAAAAGTCAGCTCAATTCGGATAGTACAGTTTCATTTAAAATTAGATTGCCACCTCCACAAAATAGTGATGTACAGCTCGATATCGATTACGATGGCGAAGTGCAGGTGTTTAAAGAAGTCAATATAATTCAGGATAGCTCCGAAGTACAAATCACTGCAAATGTATCCGAGTCTGCGGAGGAAGGGGAGGAGCACCTTTCTAAAGATTTGGATCAAGGGATCGCTGCATCCCGCAATAATTCGCGAGAGTATCATGTAAGAATTGAGGCGCCACCGAAAATATCAATAAAAGATGAGAATATGGAAGTATTTGTTTATGCTAGGTAAGTAATATTAATATTCCATGCCTAACATCATTTTATTTCCCCTTTCAGGTATACCAATGGCCGTCCTGTAGTTGGTAAGGTCGAGCTTCAGCCAGATTTGCCGACCGACCACAAAAAGCAGTCAAGCTTTGCCAACTTAGTCAACGGAAAGGCAAAGCTTAACCTAAATCTTAAGCAATACGCGAAGGAATTGGAGCATCAGCAGCAAAAAAGAGTGTCATTTATGGCTATTGTCGATAATACGGACACTGGTGATCAGATCATTGAAATGGGCAGCACTTCTCTCTACTCCTATCGCTACAAAATATGTTGCGTTAGCGAACGCGGAACCCCCTGTACAAAATTCTTCTACCCCAAGGTAAACAAGATCGCCTTCAACATTACTTATGTCAATGGATCAAAGCCGTGGGACACCAAAAAGTTATTAAGGGCCTTGTTCGAGCCGCTGGATAGTGGTATGCCAAAGAAGACGTTAAAATTTGAGGGTCACACCAATAATGAGAGTATATTGTGGATGAAAATCGTGCTGCCATCCCAGACAGGACACTATCATCTGAAGTTGATTTATGCTGATGAAGAGCGTGATTTTGGCAAAGTTTTGTCCGAAGAACACCACATATTTAAGGTGCAGATGAATTATCCGAAAAAGATGCCTGCGTAAGCCGAAATTCTTAATAGACATACCCCATTGATAGACCCCCTTTTTGTTGTCTTTTTTTCTAGCTTAGCTTTGGGACAAAAGCATAAGATAACACTGATCTCAGAAGACTCCTTCAGCTTTTTATTCTACCACATCATTGGTTGGGGCAAAATACTGATTACAAAGCGCGTCGAGCTCGCAACGCCAACAAAGACCTACAATATAACCATAACACCAACTATTGATCTGGTATATTCCGGTAAAATCTACATCTACTATGTGAACGCAGCTGGAAAGTTTCGGTCTGTGGAGCAGAATATCGTAGTAAACACGGAATTGGAGAACAAAATCAATATAACGGCACCGCCTAAGGTATTACCAGGAGCTAAGGTTGATCTGCAGATTAGGACAGCTCCCCACTCATTTGTTGGCTTGATTGCTGTTGATGAACGCGTGCTGTATCCTGGAGGGGGCCAGGACTTGGATTGGCGTCACTTGCTCTCCAATAAATACGGCCTTTGGAAAATGTCACCACACATCGTGACACTGACAAATGCTAACTATACCCCTAAATATAACGGTAAGTTGAGCTTATTAAGTATTAACTAAGTCAGTTGCTTACTACGAAGTCCTTTAGGCACACACGAACGCTTTTCAGGACGAAGTTTTATCGGTTTTCGTAAACCGCGCACTCATCATTCGAATGATAATGACGATAAGTTCCATTTGAGCTTGGCAGATACCTTGTTATTCGTCAGCTTCGAGAACAGTTCCTCAGAAGTATTTACGTATACGAAAATTCTGCCCGACAGAGCTACTAACTGGATACTAAGGTTAATGCTTAATTCAATTTAAAAAAACGGAATCCATCATCTATTTATTTCCTCCATTTCAGTGCATTCAGCTTGCATCCGCAAAAGGGTTTGGGCGTTCTAGGCCCACCAACCACAATTAGGGCTTTTCGTTCCTTCTTTGTTTCAGCGGACTTGCCCGATTCAGTAATGCTGGGGGAAATCATAACCGTACCCGCTGTGGTTTCTAACTATCTACCTAAGAACTTAGATGTGCAGGTTACTTTGTTGATTCTCGATGGCGAATTCGAATTTGTGGATTCCTCGAACGCATCCATCATAGGAGAGAACCGTACACAAACCGTCAACGTACTGTCCAACGAATCGGAAATGGTGTCCTTTCTGCTACGACCAAGGCGGCTGGGCAACCTGACTTTCCAATTAACAGCCTCCTCAATAATGGCAGAACACAAGCACCTGAAGACTATCAAGGTCGTTGCTGAGGGCGTTCGGGATTTCAGAAATCTCGCCATTTTTGTAGATCTCGCACAAAACGATTCCATTGATCATACATTTATGGTGGAATTACCCAGGGACTATGTAACGGGTTCGGCACAGATTGAATTGGCCGTAGGTCCAAATATATTGGGCCCGGTCTTTGAGAATCTGGAGAACCTACTGCACGTTCAAAAAAGCGGTGCTGACCACATTTTGTCTGTAATGGTGTCCAACTATTTGGCGTATAATTATCTGCAATCCATTAAGAAATTGTCGCCGGATATAAAAGCACGTATAATTAAGAATCTAAGGAATAATCTGAACCTAATGTTACGGAATTATGGCTGTCGAGACGGTGGCATAAAATTATTCGAGGAGTCGCGGAATTGTTCTACTTGGTTGACAGCATATGCGCTACGCTTGCTAAGTGAAATGTCCTCGCTGGTGCAGATCGATAATGATCTGCAGGACGCTTGGCAGAAATTTGTATTAGACAAGCAGCAATCTGGTGGAAATTTCATTGATCGCTCGGCTGTTCTTTTCGATTATCAAAATTCCCGACTGGCATTGACGGCTGACTCACTATTAGCTTTGTTGGCGAAAAAGAAACCGGACCCGGCGACAGCAATGGCTATCAAGCAAGCGATTTCATATTTAAACAGTGAAGTAAATGGGGAACAGGATGCACTTTCTAAGGTTCTGGCCTCATACGCGCTACAGAAAGCGGACTCTACCTTCTATGTAAGTGATCGCTACATCAGGGACTTGATCGAATTTCTTCAGAATAAATACGATACAGAGCATTGGTGGGAAGTCGATGTGAAGGTCACATCCTATATGCTGCTCCTCATACTAGATGTTTGGCAACCCAGAAAAGTGTCAGATGTTGTTGACTGGCTAGTGGCGCAACGGAACAGCCTTGGAGGATTCGGTTCCACAATGGATACAGTCTTGGGCCTTCAAGCTCTGATCAAGTTCGCTGAAAAAATTGGCTACAGTGAAGTCTTGTGGGATATAACCGTGACTGTGCATAGTAAAGATACTGATCAGCTCCAGAACAGCAAGATTATCAAACAATTTAGGAATAACGACCTGCAGATGCAACGCTTCAAGTTGCCTCAATCAACCGCATCGATAAACATTTATATCCGGGGCTCTGGCGCATCTATGGTTCAATTATCATATCAGTACAATGATATCTCTATAGTGTCCGATAGTTTTCAAACAAGAGACTATTTATGTCCCTTAAACGGACCAAACAGGATGTTGCTGAAGGTATGCATGGATCTTAAAAACAAAGAAATCCTGGCTTTGGCAACACTGAAGATATCAATACCCTCCGGCTATACAATCGGCGATCATACATCTGAGGTCAGTCAATGCATTTATTAGTAAGGCTTTTATCTCATATGACATTGTTTTAGATCGTAAATCAATTTAACGAGATGCCTATGGTAGTATTCCATATTTTAGAGCTAGACAAATATGTGACTGTGTGCAGGAATATTTCACTATACAAGATGTACGATGTTGTTGGCCAGAAACCCGTACCCATTGTAATCTTCGATTACAGTGACACAAAACGAAATCATGTCAAATACTATGAAATCGAGTCAGAGCCTTCAGCGTTATATGATGCTAACGTTTGCAAAACTAAAAACGAACAGCATTATAATCCCGAACCCACAACCGAAGACAGTGAATCTATTGAGAATTAATTGAATTGTAATCCTCAAAAATTTGTGGAACTACTGTAAAGCCAGAAAAATAAATTACGGAAACTTGAAAATGGATTTATTGGTTTCATCTGAAGTTTTTAAAACTTTCCAACTCCGACTCTTGTAAGAATAGGCTATCTTGGTGTTTATACAACGAGCTAAGAAGATGATTTTAATGACGCCGAAGCCGTGTACCCTTTAATGTGTTTAAAACTTTATTTATATTAGGTCTTTATTTTTCAGTTTCCAAAACGCATGATCTTTGCCATGGCCAATGATATCAACAAAATGGTAGTCAGTGAGTTCCAAATGTTTGTTTTTGACTCCGGTTTTTACCTGAACGATAAAATAATATGTCTATATGAAGTTTAGGTCCCACATAACGAGCTTGTGGGTAACAGGTTTTCGAAAGAGACGATAAATGGTCGGATTTAAGCTGCACCTATACCATGGGTTTTGATACGCCTCTCTCTGCTTATTTCTTGTATATGCATCTGACGCTTAGACCTTCTAGCATATACTTTAAGTCTTCGACTAGGAGGTATTACATATATTGGTTTTTCTGCTCACTCTATGCTTCCCTGAGACCCAACATAAACCAAGTGTGGAATGAAGAAAAGTTCTGCCTGCTACATGTTTCACGTTCAGGTACAAAGTATATATAGCATATCCTATGGGGGCTAAGGTCTAATGATTTAATATCAGCTTGATGCACCCGAAACGAAAGAAGACGCATGGAATAGGCGGAGAATAAACAGAAGACAGAAGACGGCACAAAAACGATTACGCGTGTTGAAAATCCTTGTGGCACTTCAAAACAGAAAACTCCGACTGACTTAACAGTGGCGGCAAAGAAGAAGAAGAAAAAGACGACGGTGCGGCGGCGGCGTCTCTCTTGAAATGACGGGCTGACAGCAAAATTCACACTTCATTTGAGGCACCTCACGCTTCACACTCGCCAACTCGGGCCGACTGCTAATGTTGCGCATAATAATTTTGTACTAAATTAAATAGTGCGTGGGTCGCCCGACTCGTCTCGACTCGAGTCGTCTTGACTCGCTTCGGATCGGATGGGATCGAATATGTTATGCTGAGTCGTCCATGTGGCAACATGTTGCTGTCTTCTTCCTTGTTTTTTGTGCATGCCGCACGGTCGCGTCTGCCACTTGAACGTGAAAGGATATAATTTAGTTTTTATTGCACGTTGTATGGTCTCTTTTTGTAGTTGTTGTTGTGGTTGTTGCTGGCTTCATCGTTTATGCGTTGCATGTTTGTTTTACAAGGGTCCTTTGCGACCTGGACCCGGTTTTGTTCCTCACATACATGCATTTGTCCGCTTCACTATTTGCCTTTTGTGTTAAATTATATTGAAGTTCCACTTATCGTCACGTGTCTAGAATATCGGGTCGGAACTGAAGTTGTGCCTTTGATGTTCCATAAATCTCAAGCGCTGCTTTTTAGCGCGATGTCAAAGAGTTATATTCGTTGTCCGGTGCTTTTTATTGTTCTCCGCAAACGGATTTTAACGACTTAAAGATAATGCTGTTTTACTATTTCTGAGGGATTCAAATATGGCAGGGGCAATGTTAGGGATCAATAATTGGACTGATTTAGAAGATTTTATTTCTTAAAGTGAGAAAACTCATCGCATGCGAAGCATTTTATTTAGAAAGGTTTTGTTCTGAATTTTTGCAAAACTAAATAATATCGCTAATAAAAACACTTATTCTCCAATATAATTTGACAAAATTGTGCAATAGGGAACGAAGACTGCCATAAAAACGACAAATCAAAAATTTATTTTTGTTGGCTTTTGACGCAAGCTTTATAAAAATTTATAATAAACATAGGTTATAAGCCTATAAAAGCCCTAAAATAAGCCCACATTAAAAAATTAAACTTTAAAAATTAAAATTAAATCTTGTAGGCAGAGGAAAAAAGAAACTTAGAACACAGCAATAAACTCAAAAAAGGACGACTTTTTTACATAAATATCAAATCTTCCAATCGATTTGGGAAGACTTCTGCTAGCTAGTAATGCGAGGAAAGCCAAACAAACGTCAGCCTAAAATAACAAAAAATAAAAAAAAAAATTTACTATCTCCCGGAGATTGCGGATTGGGGTTGGAAGAGATGATTAAGATGTGAAGAACCTCTTCGACAATCAACAACAAGAACCATCCTACGACGACCTTACAATGACAGGATATAATATATCGGAAGTAAAAATGTTGGGATACCTAATATAGCCGAAAAGAGCAAAAAATTAAGAATTTATTAAGTACATTCATTAAATTTATGGTAATAAGCAGGCTCAATAAAGTAAGAGCTGACATCACCGCCATCCAGGAAATGCGATGGACAGGTCAGGGTTGCTCCCAAAGAGCAGCCTTTGACATCTACTACAGCTGCCATGCAGAAAGACGCGAATTTGGATGCGGTTTTGCGGTCAGCAAGAGACTGCGTAACTGTGTCTCTAGGTTCACACCTGTGAACGAACGGCTGGCAACCATCCGTGTCAAGGCGAGATTTTTCAACATAAGCCTGATTTGCGTCCACGCTCCGACGGAGGACAAAGACGAGATTACCAAGGACGAGTTCTATGCGAGACTGGAGACAGTCTATGACCGCTGCCCCTCTCATGACATTAAAATTGTTCTTGGCGATTTTAATGCCAAGGTTGGAAGAGAGCGCGTCTTTGCCCCGACAGTCGGACAATTCAGCCTCCACGAGACAACATCCAACAATGGACTGAGGCTAATTGACTTCGCCGCAGCACGAAACATGGTGGTGAGTAGCACCAGATTTGAACACCTTGATATCCACAAAGCTACCTGGCAGTCACCCGATCGAATGACAAAAAATCAAATAGACCATGTTGTGATAGATGGAAGGCATGCATCCAGTGTGCTGGACGTGCGTACGTTCCGTGGTGTGAATATTGATTCGGACCACCAACTTGTTGCAGCCAAGGTCCGCATGCGATTATGCATGGCGAAAAATGTACGCCCCAACACGCAGCGAAAACTAGACGTCGGAAAGCTGCTAGCACAACAGACTGCCGAAGCTTACTCCGCCCAACTCTCTGAGCTGCTTTCTCAACCGTTCTCGGAAACCGATACTGGTAGCGGACTTTGGGCACATATTTCCCGCTCACTGCACACAGCCGCAGAAGATGTCATTGGTTTCCAACAGCCGCTACCGAGAAACCAATGGTACGACGAGGAGTGCCGCGAAGCCACTGCAGCGAAGAATGCCGCGTACAAAAGAACCCTGCAGACGGCGACAACGCGCGCTGTTCATGATGTATATCGGGAGAAGAAGAGGGAGGAGAGGCGGCTTTTTAGACGCAAGAAGAGAGAGCAAGAAAAGCGAGAGCGAGAGGAGATGGAGCTTTGTAGAGACAGGAACGACGCTAGGAAATTTTTCCAGAAGGTGAAGCGTCTAACGCAAGGTTTTAAGCCCGCAGCGTCAGCCTGTAAGAACTCGGAAGGAAATCTGGTGGTGGACGGGCAAGCGGCACTGAGACTGTGGAGGGAACATTTCTCCAATCTTCTATCAGGCGAAGATGTTAACAATTCCGCCAGCGGAGATGACCCCACAGAACCGATCGCCGACGATGGTATTGAAGTACCGTCACCTAGCCATGACGAAGTCGAAAAAGCCATCCAGCGGCTCAAAAACAACAAATCTGCGGGAGCAGATGGGCTGCCTGCGGAGCTGTTTAAGGCAGGCGGCAATGAGTTGGTAGGGTGCATGCACCAGCTCATTTGCAAAATATGGCTAACTGAAAGCATGCCTGATGATTGGAATCTCGGTGTCCTATGTCCCGTCTTAAAAAAAGGTGATCCCACGGTCTGCACCAACTATCGTGGAATCAGCCTTCTTTCCGTCGCATATAAGGTCATATCAAGCGTAGTGTGTGATAAGCTAAAGCCATTTGCGATAGCACTGATTGGGCCTTATCAGTGCGGCTTTATGCCTGGTAAATCCACCACTGACCAGATATTCACGCTACGCCAAATCCTGGAGAAAACTCATGAGTTTCAAATCGATACCCACCATCTTTTCGTCGATTATAAAGCAGCATTCGATAGCCCGAGGAGGGAACGTGTATATGCCGCACTGTCTGAGTTCGGTATCCCTGCAAAGCTAGTGCGACTTTGCAGAATGACGTTGAGCAACACTCGTAGCTCCGTCAAGGTAGGAAAGGACCTCTCCGAACCCTTTGATACCGTTCGAGGTTTCAGGCAAGGCGATGCCCTCTCGTGCTATCTCTTCAACTTCCTGCTGGAGAGTGTGGTGCGCAAAGCTGGTGTACACCGAGGCGGAACGATCTTTTTTAAAAGCGTTCAGCTTCTTGCGTACGCTGATGATATAGACATTATCAGCCGTACCAGGAGAGGCGTCACCGGAGCATTTGCGGCTATTGAGAAGGAAGCTGCAAAAGTGGGTTTGGTGATAAATGAGAGCAAAACTAAGTATATGTTTTCCTCTAGCAGGGACACGCGGCAACCAGACTCCCAGATCGCGGTGGAAAACTATACTTTCGAAATGGTGAAAGATTTTATGTATCTTGGCACCACCGTCACAGCAACCAACGATGTCAGCCTAGAAATCAAATGGAGATTAACTCTAGCCAATCGATGCTACTTCAGCCTCAGTAGGCAATTGAGTAGCAGAGACCTTTCCCGAAAAACCAAGCTAACGCTCTACAAGACGCTCATCCTCCCCGTGCTGCTTTATGGTGCAGAAGCATGGGTGATATCGCAGACTGATGCAGCAGCTCTTGCAGTGTTTGAGAGAAAGATGCTTCGGAAGATCTTCGGTCCCATACGCGTTGGCGACGACTACCGCATACGATGGAACAGCGAACTGTACGAGCTCTACGCTGACATTGACATAGTCAAGCGAATAAACATCCAGCGGCTAAGCTGGCTAGGTCATGTCGTGCGTATGGAAGAAGACGCTCCAGCGAAAAAAGTTCTCGATGCGGATGTTGGGGGGAGACGACGACGGGGGAGGCCTTGCCTACGTTGGAAGGACCAGGTAGAGAACGCACTTACTACCT